TTTTCATGTATGTTTTTACGTCCCCACCAACACAATTTAGACCATTCAGGAGTGGGATTTGACCCTGCCTAGGCTACTGAAAGGGACACAGTGTCCCAGTAGAAAAACCAAGATACTTCGCTACCCTAGAATTACAAAGATCAACTAGCTGATTACCTAGTTATGATAAATTTGACGTCAAAGATTTTGAGTTTCACATCATGCCAAACTTTTCCGAATGCAATTCTTTATACGAGTATATCTTTATCACGACTCCGAGTAATCTTACGATTTTGATAGAGCAGATGGAACATTTGTTGGTTTTTGATGTCATAATGTGGTCTTATATGCAGTAACTCAAAACGGATTTTAAAAATTGTCAGATAGAACATTGTAATTCTGAGGTAGCGACTTTATAAATTTCTCCCCTTCAGGAATCAACGCAGGTTTTCTACACCTAACCATAACATCACAGGCACCGGTAAGTTTTTTTTCAGCATCTAAATAAAAGGAATCAACACATTGCCCCCTACTCTGGGCTCATGACTCTTTCTACCACCTTTCTACTGCTTATCCTTGGCTTCCTTTTATTGCTGTCTTTCGGCCACACCCTGATCTTAGGGTAGGCAAAATATAGCACCTAACCTTCTCGGATAAGTTGCGCATGTTAACGATCCATTGGTGCTCCTAAAATCGATAAGAGTAGGCTTGCGCCGTCATCCGCGCAAAATTCAAATTTAATTCCTACCAAACTGAAAATGGTTAATGTGTCCTGCGCGTTTATACGACATTATGCAGATGCGAGCACCGTAAAATATTTTTTTAAAACCCTGCCAGCCATCACTTACGATTCTAATGTAATGACAGTATTATGATATTGAAGGTACAATGTTATGGATCACATTTTTAAAAAATCTGCCAGGATACAGGAACTGAAAATTTTCTGAAACACGGGCTACGAACATTTGAAATAAAATGGCTTACTGAAACTAAAACTTTGGTTTCAAAACAGAAAGGTCATATTGTGACAGTAGCAAAGTATGTAGATATACTCTCATTTCCCTTCATTCTCGTACGCCCGTCCTGAATTTAAAAAAAAACAACTGAAAACACTGCCGGTCAGATTATGATACGGTCTCAAGTGAGCTGAGTGAACAATGTGCTCAGAGAAAGTTGACGTGGGATTCGAGTATATCATTATATTATTTTACTCATGCTTCCCACTAGAAAAAAAAGCTCAAACAAATTATTGTAAATTCTTATAGATGATTGTAAATAACTGTTAAAATGATCTGAAAAGGCTTACATATTTTTAAAATGGTGAAATGGTATAGGTTTAACGCCCCTTTCGACACTATTAGGTGCTTTAATATAAATCTTGTAAATTATTTTAGATGATTGTAAATAACTGCAGAAATTACCCCCCCCCCCACCCCCACCCTTTTCAATCAAAACAATTTAGATGCCATTAACAGCGAAAGATTTTGTCAATTAGTGTATTAGCGCCTGTGTCAGCTTGTTCTGTAGGCTTATCGGGACATTGAAATTCTCATCAGGTTTTCTATGGTAATGATCAAGATTATAAAGGGTGCATAGAGGTAAAATTGCTGTTGATCGGGATTTTGCGCAATACAAATGCTTTCTATCTATCTATCTATCTATCTATCTATCTATCTATCTATCTATCTATCTATCT